CGGATTGGGCATCTCATAGTTAACGCTGGCGGGGATCAGGCCCTTTTCTAGGCACAAAACTCCCTTGACTATGGCGGCCAAACCCGAAGCAGCCTCGGTGTGGCCCACGTTGGTCTTAACCGAGCCGATGCGCAGGTAGTGCGCCTCATCACGGCCTCCATCACTGTTGTCGTCGACTCCGCTAAACACGTTGGCCATGACCCGTGCCTCGATAGGATCGCCAGCCTGTGTTCCAGTGCCGTGCGCCTCAAAGTACTGTGTGCCGCGCGGATCAAGGCCGGCGCGCCGGTAGCACTCGCGTATAAGCGCTTCCTGGGCGGGGCCAGATGGTGTCGTGATGGTCTCTGTTTTTCCATCCTGGTTAAGCGCCGTCTCACGAATGACAGCGCGGATGGGGTCGTTGGCGGCCAGAGCGTCCGACAACCGTTTGATCACAACTGTGGCGACGCCCTCGCCACGGCCATAGCCGTTGGCGCGACTGTCGAACGCGTATGACCTGCCATCCGGCGATAGCATACCAAGTGAGCCGATGGTCTTAAACGGTTCTGGGCCTACCATCAAGTTGACGCCGGTCACCACGGACATGTCGGCCTCACGGCAACGCAGGCTTTGCACGGCTTGGTGCAGCGCCACTAGCGTGGTCGAGCAGCCAGTCTCGAGCGTCATGCTGGCACCGCGGAAATCGAAAACGTGCGAGATGCGGTTTGCCGCCATCGGTTTCCACGTGCCTATTGGCATGAATCGCGGCGGCTTGTCTTCGTCTCGCGCCAGACCCTCGTTGTATTCGTGCGTGAAGATGCCAGCAAAAACGGACGTCTGTGATCCAGCCACTTGCTGCATTGTAAGGCCGGCTTGATCGAACTCAAGTTAGAGAGGAGGGCCCGAAAGAATTGTAGCAGGGTAAGTAGTATATACTCACCATTTTCTAAGGCCTCGAATGTCGACTCGAGTTGCATCCGGAATTGTGGATCGAGCGCCTGTGCTGTCTCCCCGGAGTAGTTGAAGAATGCAGCATCGAAACATCCTATATCACCGTCAAGGAAGTGGGCCCCCTTGACGTGTGTCTGTTCTGTTGTTAGCACTCGGACTTGCTGTTGGTATATCCTAGGTTGACTTGCCGTGCTAACCCTCTCATTGTTAGGGTGATAGATTCCTTTTAGATTGAAACGGTCCTCTGGTATCTCACTCCAGCCAGTCTTTCCTGAAACCAACAGATCCCAGAGCTTGTCTGGGTCATTGGCACCACCAGAGAACTTGCAGCTCATACCGATGATGGCAATCGGCTCACTGGCCCACTCGCTGTCGTCCTCCATTTTTGTCTAAAGCAGTCAGATGATTTGGACTTGTTCACTAATAATGTAGATGCTCAGTTACTCTCGAACAGAGCTAACAGTTCCGTCAAGTTGAAGAGCTGTAATGTGTGAAGATTGTGAAAGATGGCTCTAAGTTCTATACCCAATTCGCTTTTATTTGAACACCAGTTGTATCGCACAGTGCCTTATTCTAATGGGGATTATTTATTTAGCTTTGAAGACGATCTAGCAATACGGACTTCAACTATCATGGGTGAAGCTCCATTCTCAATTGATCAATTCCCCGAAGCAGCGTCGGAAGAGGTTACTTCCAGAGAAATTGGTGATACGGGGTATAAAAAGTCCGCCGGAGAATTACCAAACTGGCTATCCTCAACTGGGCTTGGTCTGTAGATCTGAGCTCGCACCCTTCATTTTCTAAAATTATAGACCCGTGAGAGGTCACAGCTAGGCTATTGGTCTGACTAGGTTGCAATCGCGCACGGAGAATCTCTACATGGGCGGACAATTAATCGACGACGTTAGGCAATGAGATAGGCAGACAATCACTGTACGCAGATCCATAACTGATTTATTATATAATCATACAAGCTTCAATTAGGAGGGTTTAAATTTCCATCACATCGTAATTCACATAAAGTAGAGTTAGTCAGATAGATTGATCTAACTACGCAGTGCTACCAACCTATGTAGTCTAAATTCTGTAGATCTTTGGCTTAGCCGACATATCTTACGTATTGCTTCCATACAGGGTCCTTCTTTAGCCCGTTGATGTCTTCCTCCGGCATGCACAACGTTAGAGGGATGAATGCGCCCTCGGCTTCGTTGATAATAAAACAGCCGGGAATCGGCGCCGCTGTTGGGCGGCGGAAGAAGCACAATCGGCCCAAGAGAGGGCCCCAGGATGCCGGCAGCGGCGTCGCCTGGCCAGCCGCGGTCACCATAAGGTCCGCCCGGGCGTCGTGGGTGCCTCCGTACAGTAGGCTCGAGGTGTCGGGCTCACGAGCCATGAATGTGGCAAAGCTGCGAATGGACCATGGCGTGTTAGCCTGGTTGAGCTCACGACGCAGCACTTGCGCAATCTGTGGCAGTGGCAGTTTAGCCACCTGGCCCAATGGCAGCCGGACCAGAGCGTGGCACACCATGTGGCCCATGTAGGTCAGCGGCACGCCCAGCGCCATGCGCCCGTCGATAGCGCGCCCGAGCTTGGATGAGCGCTCCGGCGGCTGTCCGTTAGCCACGCGCACGGCGCAGAGGCGCTGCCATGCAAAGGCGGAGAAGATATCGTTCTCAGAGACCATCAGCGAGCCTGGCTTGTTGCTAGATGGATCGTCTTTGACCGACTTAACCAGCCGAGCCAGAGCATTGACCGGAATCTTGAAGTAGCACCACATCGGTGGACTTGGGGGTGGCGCCCAGGTATAGCCTGGTGGGCGCCGCAGGTGGCTATAGCTCTTGACGGGCTCGGTGCGCGGAATGAGCGTGATCACCCGGCTGCGGTCGCGGTTGGCCTGCTCCAAGTCGGCGGCCGGAATCTCTTTGCCGCTCATGACAAGGGCCAGGAGATTCATAAACTGGTAGATACCGGTGCCGTCGATAATGGTGTGGTGAGTGCTAAGGTTGAGGATCAGGCCGCCCTGCACAAAGTTGGCCTGCATGGCGACGACAGGGTCAGGGCCCTCGAGGCCGCGAGGTTGTGGCAGCGCCGGCCACGGCGTCAGAACCGATCCGTCCAACATGTGGATAGGCACGCCGGCTGAGACGAGCTTGGCCATGGGTGCGATGAGATCGTCACAGTTTTTGACGCGGATGCGCTCCTCGGGCACGTCCGCGGGCCACGGCATCGCCTTCAAGATGCCGCCGGGCCCTAACTCCCGGGCCACCTGCCACCCCAGCCAGGGGATTTCCGCCTTGAGTTTATCAAAGCCGTCCTGGAGGGATGCGACGATGACATCGCGGTCCACGTCGGCCGGCAGCTTGAACCCAAACAGCAACTGCGTATAAGCATTGAGGATTGGGAACTGGGAAATAATATCACGGTGGAGTTCCGAGTCGGTTTCGGCTGTGTCGCCTTTCGTAAGGTGATTTTCCATTGCGACAGACATGGTGAAGAACTTAGTTTGTAGTTGTCTACGAGCCTGGAAAGCTTCACCTGCATGAGAAAGCCACAAGTCGCCATTCTATCCGTTGTCTCTAGTTCTGCATGTTATACGATATGCGTGCATCTTGACTTGTGTCTGTGGATACGGTTGCACTTTCGGACTTTCGGACTTTCTTGCTAGCCCTAATTTCTTTTCTCGGAATTCACTTTTCCGCATTTCGGATCGCCAACGCTCGGGGCTTTGGGTCCATGCTGAAAGCTGCCAGATAGTGTCAGATCAATGCTTATATATATCCCTTCTGTTAAATACCAGCTTATAGGGCGCGTTCCAAAGGGTAACCTGTTGTGATATCGGCAAAAGACTAGGATTCTAAGACGACCGACTGTTCAGAACTGTGCATGCCATACAAGGACATGGTCCTTTACACCTTTCCGCAAAATCAAATGTAACGCACTGTTATTATCGGTATTAGTGTTGTTTGCTACTCGTTGGGTATATATTTCTTTGCCAAGTGCAGTCAATTTAAAAGTAGGAAGAGAAACCTTGGAAAGAAGAAGAGAAGTGGGGAGAGTTGATCCATGGTAGATCAAGCCCCACTCCCGCAAACTATACAAACACCATGACAAAGCTTTGTCTGTGATGAGAGGGGTATACAAGGCCGGCTAGAAGGACGAGCGAGGACCGCTCTAGGAGCCGTCTTCGAGGCGTAGAACGAGGATCTTCAGCTGGCTTCCTTTAAAGCGCCTCGCCGCCATGCCCAGGCTATAAAAATCCCCCCGACTTTGTGCTTTTGACCCAAGATCGTATAGCCGAGATGCTGGGGGAGGCTAAAGTCCCTTGGATCCCGGAGCACGATCTAGGAGGCCTGGTTCGTAAATTTGAGACTAGGGACACCGGGGAACCGTTCAGGCACGCACTAGGTCCGTATTGTGAGTCATTAACAGGAATCTATTAATATTGTCCCATACACGTAGTTCAAATTGCGCAGTACATGTTCGAGTGAAATATAGGTTCTTGACAACGTACGAACAAACGATCTGTCTTCGAAAGGTCGACATCTGAGGCTCATGTTGCTCTGCAAACTATACAAACATGACGAAGCACCAAGACCGCTCGGGCCCCCGGGGCCGTAATCTTGCAAGAAATAGCCAACAGATACGGAGTAATTAGTACGTGATCACATGCATTATATGTAATTTTTGTAAGATGATGTATTCTAATACTCGAAGTTTACTCTTTCTTACTTACAACAGTCCTAGAGGGCTTAATGAAGTGATTATTAATCTATAGGGCCCGCTTGAGAAATGTTAGGTGGAGAATAAAAGTGGGCTGATAATGTACAAAGTACACACCCTTTGTCTGACAATCTGTGTCTGACTGGCACTCTTCGTGTTTTACATCTACCCACATTCCATCCTAGAAACTTTCAAACTAGTATCCTCTATCGCTGTATAGAGCTATATCTCTCCCAACAACTAATCCCGACCGGCCCTCTACAGAATGGCTGGCCGATCAGCGCCATATGGGCAAGCGTGTTTGAACTGTTTCAAAACAAAATGCAAATGCGTTCCTCGTTCTGATGGCAATGGATGCGAAAGGTCTGTCCGGGCTGCACTTTGCTGGCTGTTCCATGCTTCCAGACCCTAACCTGCGAACACTCGTTGACACGAAAGGGTGCGTTATATAGGTGCCACCGCCTCAAGCGCCCATGCCATCCAGCCGATGCAGTACGTCGCCGCAGCGACAAAAAGCAAAACCCATCGGAAGCCCGTATTGCGAAGCTCGAGGGTACACTCGGTCAACTAGTCTCGATGCTCCAGGCGGGCAATGTCCACGGCGAAAGAGTTGATGAATGGTCGCAGCAGCAGCAGCAATCACCACCGCAACAACACCAGCAACATCAGCAACAACCACCACCACCTCCAATCATTCCATACCCAGACGTGGCTGCAGAAGGGACCGAAGGAAGCGGCGCTATGGAGGACTCGCGGTCCGGTTTTATGGAAGAAGACGACGAGGATACCGACAGCGACGCCGTCCGTGCCTCTGCTTCTTGGTGGGGTATGGACAATGCGAACGCGTTTAGCGCCAACGGCATGCCCGTCGACACCCCCCCATCCTCGACCATGTCGGGCGCGTTTATGTCGCCCGCTCTATCTCCGTCCTCGGTACCTCCATCCTCAGCATCGATCTCTATAGACACATTCTGCTCGCGTATGCTGCATCATTTCCCGTTTGTTCATTTGCCTGCCTACCTCACGGCCGAGAAACTACGATTAGACCGGCCGTTCCTGTTTCGCGCCATTATTTGTGTGACATCGGTATCAGCTAAGGACAAGATGGCAAGCTCCCTCGAGCTGAAGCGTGTACTCTATGAGGCGGCATTTCTTCAACGGTTGCCACAGCAGAAACAGCAGCAACCACAACAAACTGTGGATCTGCTGTTAGGCCTCCTTGTCTATATTGCGTGGGGATGGGAGCACCTGCGTAGCAATCACAGCTTGCCTCGTCTCATGGCAATGGCTATATCGTTGGTCGGCGAGTTACGTTTTCTGGATCAAGCTGTACCAGAAATCTCGCGCACAATAAGTCACCTCGAACCGAACGGTGGGTTCGACAATGTGTATGGCATCACGCCAGCGACTACCGCGACGACAACACCGACAACCGGCGCTGGGGTGACTGATACACAGCTCTATCTCGAGCGCCAGCGAGCCATTCTAGGCTGCTTTGTCCTTGGCTCGGCCGTCTCAGCCTATTTCTGCCAGGTTGAGGCGCCCCGGTGGACACCTCAGATGGACGAGGCACTTGCTGCCATTGTTGCCAGCGGCAATAGTGCCGGCGCAGAATGTCCATCTGATGCTGCCCTGGCTATTCAGGTCCGCCTACAGCTCCTCGCCACGAAGGCCGCCGAGGTCAGGGAGCGAGCCCAACTCCCCGACCACCCTCCACCGGAGACTCTTTCGCCTCAATCTCTCCTGTACATCAAGGCGCTGATGGGGCAGCTACAGGAGCTCAGGGCGTCTGTCCCCCCTGCATTCCAACAACACTTTCGTAGGTGTCCAGCTCAGAGGGTTTTATTTAGAAGAATATCAGCCACTGATTGCTAATCGATATATAGTCCTTCTAGCTCAGACGTACTACACAGAGATGTGCATTATCGAGACCATCCACATCCAGCAATCCGCGCGCCCGCCACCGCCAAAATGTGGGCCTACGCGCATCTCCTGCTTTTGGCAGTCAGCACTCGCGATTAAGTCGTGCACATCAACCTTCCTGACTCTCTCGCCGTCTGGACTCCTTGGTATTTCCTTCATCCAATGGGCTCAGCTAGTACGGTGCGTGGCCACCCTGCACCAACTAAGCACGCTCCGGGAGAGTGGCTGGGATCCAGCCACTGTGCGAAGGCTCGTCGATCTGCCCGTCTTGTTATCATGCACGGCAGACAAGCTGGAGCTCGCTGCTGCTGAAGCTGGTGAACAACCGGCGTCAGCCGACGGCGTATTCATGCAATTGGCCCGCGGCCTACGCATGTTCCAATCGTCATATCACGATAGAGAACTGTTGAGTCAACAGGAAGAGGCATATAGAGCAAAGGAAACGGGTGATGGAGTAGAAAACAGAGCGGATATGACTATGGCTCCAGTCACGACTACGGAAGGAGATACAGATGCGTTGGCAAATAGTCAACACGCGGGATACTTGATGAGTCCGACGTTATGGTTAGAGGAGATTTTTGTTGGTTATGAAGATCAGTCGATACCTACCATGTAGAGGATTGACATTTTTGTACTGCTAATAAAGGTACATACTGATCGCAAACCACTACTGCACATGTGAAATGAACTACATTACGCTTTCATAGCTTCCACGGTTTTATGATATATGGGTACGCGACAGTCTACCCTGGACACACTGCTATAGCCGTTCTTGAAAAGATTGAATATATTATCAATGGACAATTGTGTATGCATAACTCACATTTGAGATATAGTACTAGAGAAATATTTCTACTATGAACGGGCGATTACCGTTTTGGACTAAAATGGTCTGTAAAAAGCCCGAATTATTTTAAAACTACAGCCAACCAAATTTTGTATAATCTCTTGTAATCTTGTAATATTCCAATTCCTATGATTATAAATATTTATGGCACGTTCCAGCTTGACAGGCCGGACATACTACCTTAGTCCGTCAACAGGAGACCGACCGGATTTCAGATTCCGGTTCCGACATGCAGCTACTAGCCCTAAATGGATTTACATACTCGCGCAGAAACATTCCGGTCCCTATTCTAAGCTCATGATCTCCTTTTTAACTTAATGTTGTCATACAATTGTGTTATATAACTTACGACTGCAAGCTACTTTTCTTCAATAACTACTAATACAGTTCTTGGCACCAGCGAGAGCAAGAGTCAGCTCCAGTGCCATAACCATGACCACTACCGAGTCCAACAAATCAATTGACACAAATATGGTACTGTCGGATGAGAGTGGTGATGTTGAGAAGTACGGCTCCGACAGCGTCGACTCCAAGGACGAGGCCGCAGAAGATGACAGCAACTTTCCCAGCGGCGTGGCCTTATGGTCCATCCTTGGTCCTGTTACAATCGCCTACTTCCTCGTCTTCCTCGACATGTGTGTCGTTTCTACCGCAACCCCTGCCATCACACAACGATTCAACTCTCTAGTTGATGTTGGCTGGTATGGTGGCGCGTACCAGCTCGGCAGCTCTGCTCTGCAGCCGCTCACTGGCAAGATCTACAGCCACTTTAATATCAAGGTTGGTCATTCTGTGATAGCTTGAGAAAATACACAATTGATCATTGTTAACGATGGAAACAGTGGTCCTTCCTCGTCTTCTTCTTTCTCTTCGAGCTCGGGTCTGTCATCTGTGGAGCCGCCGTCTCGTCGCCCATGTTCATTGTTGGAAGAGCCATTGCCGGAGCTGGATCGTCGGGTATTGGAAACGGCGCCATGACAATCATCTCAGTTATATTACCGCGCAGGAAGCAGGCCCAGTTTCTGGGCATAAACATGGGTATCGGCCAGCTCGGTATCGCTTTGGGCCCTATCCTTGGCGGTGCATTCACCCAAAATGTTTCATGGCGTTGGTGTAAGTTGCTTGGACGTCTCTCTACTGCTATAATCTTGCTAACCACCTTCTTCCTCTTGCAGGTTTCTACATCAACCTACCCATTGGCGGTGCTCTGGCCATTTTGCTGTTCCTGTTCAAGATCCCCGAGCCGACCGACAAGCTACCCGCCAGACAAGTCCTCGGCACGGCCATTAAGTCTCTGGATCTTCCAGGCTTTATGCTCATTAGCCCCGCTGCCGTCATGTTTTTGCTTGCATTGCAATACGGCGGTACCGTGCACCCGTGGAATAGCTCCGTTGTAATCGGCCTTCTGGTTGGCGCGGCTGTGACCTTTATCATCTTCCTTATCTGGGAATATCGCCAGGGCGACGGTGCCATGGTACCGTTCGCGATGATCAAAAAGCGCATTGTGTGGTCTGCTGCGGGTAACTTGTTCTTCCTTCTCGGTGCCATTTTGGTGGCCGAGTACTACCTCGCCATTTTCTTCCAAACCGTGCTTCACAACAGTCCTATCATGAGCGGTGTGCACATGCTGCCAGCAACCTTGTGCTTAGTATTCTTCACTATGCTCTCTGGGATGATGAGTTCGTCCCTCCCCCTTCTTTCGTCACTTCAAAACTAATCAAACTAACGTTTCGCAGCCGAGATCTTAGGTTATTACTTGCCCTGGAACCTGGGAGGAAGCGCCGTGACTGCTATTGGGTATGGACTCATGTCTTTGATTAAACCCACGACTATATCGCACAAATGGCTTGGGTACCAGGTGCTCTATGGTGCTGGCAGTGGTGCAATGACCTCAGCGGTGAGTTTACTTCGCAATATCCCATCTCCTCCACATCCCGAATCGGACTTTGCTAACTTTACTTTCATATGAAGCCCTACATCGCTATCCAAAATCTTGTTCCCCCTCCGCAGATCCCTATTGCCATGGCTATCATCATCTTTTGCCAAAACATGGGCGGTGCCGTGTTTCTGATTGTCGCTAATTCGATTTTCACCAACGGCCTCCGCGCGGAGCTCCAGAAACGCTTCGCCGAGATTGGCGTCAACCCTGATATCCTCATCAGTACCGGACTGAACTCAATCCGAAGTCTTGTTTCAGGCGATAAGCTCACCGCTGCGCTCGAGTGCTATACCACGGCAATTAGCCATGTTATGTATCTCGGCATAGGAGTCAGCGTAGCCACGTTTGCCTTTGGCTGGGGGTTGGGATGGGTTGATATCCGTAAGGCGAAGAAACTGCAGGCCATTAAGGGAGATGCTCCGGCTGCGTCGAACACCGAGGATGTGGACTCGACTGAAAAGACCACAGCCTAAGATGGAAATTGAATTGATGTCCCACTAATTGTGTAAGTGGGTCACATGGCTCTCTTGGGACATCGGTCAGTTGGTGGACGGTTCGGCGTTTTCCTTTTGTTGCATTTGTTTGATTGTTTTGTTTATTTTACCCTCAATCTTGTGAGGATCGCTAGATCTTTAGATGATGCTTTTTGCGGACACTGGCAGGAGACTGTTACCTAGAAAAGTGCTGCCGCTGCCGCTGTTGTTGTTATCGATGGGGTGCCAAAAGTCTGTCAACACATCCTAAATCGTTAATGAATCGCGATTTTACGGCACTCTTTTCTTGGTATTTCCTTAATATTAATATATTCACAGAACTAGGATGTAATGAATACAACATATCTTTGTTATCACTGATTCCATGGACTCTTAAATTTGTCGAAGCTCGGGGGATTCATCTGAGTATGCCATGGGAGAACGGTGATGAAGTTTTGATGAGAAATCAGAGGTTATGCTGCGATATTTGTGTTAGCAATTGTTAATAGCGGACATGGGATATGTAAATAACACCGCAGGTTTTCGCACTCTATGCATTTAAGGTGTAGGGACTGTAGTAAACTAATACCAGAACCCGACAGAGTGTACATAGGAAAGAGTAAAATGAGTGGTAGATAGCTACATAACCGCTAGGCTGAGCAGAAACCAATACATAAATCTCTAGTCTATAGTGACACAACAATCTTCTTCGCTGAAACACCCTGCATGTGAATTCCAAATGCCTCCTGGATCTTTTCCAGTCCCTTACCCACGACGATCGCCTCGGGAGCTGGCACAAATTGCTCATTGGCTAGTGCCTCCGGGAGGTAATTCTTGTAGATTTTGCTCGCAACTGAGTCCGGGCCGGCGGCATCCGGGCCCAGCAGGATGAACTTGACCTGGACACTCGGGTCAATGCTGCCACCACCGGGCTGACCGCCAGCAAGAGCAATGACTTTATGGGTGGAGGGGCCCTCGTGTTTGGCCAAGACGGCAGCCAGCAGGTCGATGGAGCCGTCGCCAATGGAGTATCCACCGGCAAGGTGGAGCCCCTTGACAGCAGCACTGATATCGTCGATCACGGTACCACTGTTGTAGTCAAACACATGGGTAGCACCGAGCTTCTTGACGTAGTCAAAGTTCTTGGGTGACGCCGTCGACACAACCTCGTAGCCGGCGGACACGGCCAGCTGGATTGCGGTGCTGCCAACAGCGGATGAGCCGCCAGTGATAATGACAGCATGCTTGTCGGCGCTAGACGGAGGGGCGGGCACGGTGGGTAAATCAAGGCCCAGGTAGCCGGCGTCAAACAGACCATGAGAGGCTGTGAACACGGCCAATGGTATCACGCTGGCCTGCTCAAAGGTAATGCTTTCCGGCAGTGGTGCGGCTAGCCACTCGCGAATGACTGTGTACAGCTGAAAACCGCCCTCGAGGGAGGTGTTGAGGGAGATGGCAGCAGCCGCAGCCAGAACACGGTCGCCGACGCGGAAGCGCTCCACGCCTTCGCCCACCTCGACGACGGTGCCGGCCACATCCTCTCCAAGAATGAAGGGATAGCTGATATGACCTAGCAAACCTTCACCGAGCAACTGCTTAGCCCAGTCAACCGAATTGATGCCCAGTGCACTATTCTTCACCACGATCTGGTGAGGTCCGGGTTGTGTGTATGGCGCGGGGCCGACCTCAAGCGGCGTAACTTTGGAGCCGGATAGCCAGGCGGCCTTGTTCTCTGGAGTCTGTGCCATTGCTGAAGTTTCTGGTATACACGATGAGTGACTGCGTTTGGTGTGGGAAAAAGGGGTATCGGCTGCTGTTTAAGATCAACACAAACAGGGCGGAAGTTGTGCAGGTTGACTTCAACAAATTTAAGAATGCAGATGCTCGTGGTACCTCTCCCATGTGGTATTGGTTATATGTTTATGCGGCAACTGATAAATGCCTAGACACCGGAGCGCGGTGCGTACGGAGTTGCGCCATGCGTACGGAGTTAGGACAATCAATCATTCTGGAATCATTGGCTGCATCACGATGGCGAGATCACGGAATTAATGGCTTTTGTTTGAAATAACGCCGTGTTAACTGTCGGCATAGGAATATGAACACCGGTTGATTCCTTAGTCGAAATATTCGGACAAGGGTCGGACCGGATTCTGAGATTCCGGTTGTATTTCCCTTCCGCGGGGGCTATCTAGGCAAGATGTCAGCTTGTGGAGAACTCGATTTTAACCTCGTATGAATTTCATCTGTGATAATTCTATACTGTTCGACACGGTTATACGCTTGACCGTAACAGTCACGTCTTCAGGAGTTTATAGGCAACTATCACCGTCCCAGGAAGATTAACACTGCCATTCAATCAACAAATTCGTGTGGCTTTCAAGTCTAATGTCTTCAGATAATGTGCAGCCCCCAAAGACGGGGTCCAAAGAATACGAACGGCCCAATGATCGGCCCAATGAGGTGACAAAGACGGATGTTGGAAGCGGTTACGGCGGCGGATGTGGCCGAAGACCCTTTGGTGGCTGCTGATTTTCCTCTGACTTTGATACAGCAGATAGAATGTGATCCGTGCGCTTTGGCTGTCGCGTTACATTCGCCTATTTTCTCGGAGATGGAAACTGAAGCCTATCGCTTTCAGCCGCAGCATTGATACGATCCTTCAACTCCGGAAGTGGCCGTAGCCTGCATTAACGAATTTCAGATCTGGGCCGAGCCCACAAACAGCCCATCGGAGAAATTGAGACAGGGCGACATGCACCTGGGGCGCCACGGATGCCTGGTTCCGTTTTCGGAGGACGCGACTACTATGCCGTGCAGTTAAAGGATTTCTAGCCTTGTGTTATTCGGTTAGAACATCTCTACAATGAAAATAAAGGATTTCTAGCTTTGTGCCGTTAGGTTGAGACCTATTCTCAGCGGCTATAGAGCACATACTCTGTCTATGTGGCGAAAACTCTTGGATTCAACAGGTCCTGTCTCTTGATCCCGTACTCGTGAACTCGACTCGTGGACAGATTGCGTACTTACTGATTCTTGTTTCTTACCAAGGTAGGTTTTGGGCCCCCCGAGGAGCAATCAGTTATACTTCACCACCCCCTGTCGATAGTTGCATGTTATGGCCTTCTTCGTGATTGATTGGATATGAAATGGCTTACAGGCATAAGCACTAATAAGTTGCGGCAATGATGCATACGAGGTAGAAAATGCAACATATACCCCAGGCAATCTAGTTTATATAACCAGGTGAGTACAGAAGTTCAAAGCAAACGTCTGATCTACATCTTCAATAATCAAATTCGGATTCCGCTTCGGCCGTTCGGCCTTTCAGGTGGTACTATTGTGATTGGCAGCCAACGGCCAGAACCTTATACCTACCGATCATATCCACTCTGTTATAGCCGTTTTAAAGTCGATAATCTGGTATGAATTCAAGAGGCTTCCGGCAACAGACCGGATTCGCGTGCGAAACCTGTCGGAAAAGAAAAGCGAGATGTAACCGCGTCCGCCCACAATGTGGTCTCTGTGCAGAGATAGGCGTTGCGTGTGTGGTAATTGACCAGAGACCACAAAGGGGTCCCAAAAAGGGCCAGCTCGATGAAATGCGAGTCCGAATTGGTGAGTTGCTTTTGCCTTTTTTGCACTTCCTGATTGTGGGAGAAGCACAATGCCATACCTACCATCTCACTGGTTATATCGCAAGACATTATTAATGCTGGTTGGTTTTAGCGGAGCTCGAATGGCAATTGGGCAAGCAATTGGGGAACCAGGACCCCAGTGCTATGTCCAAGACTCCACCAAAACCAGAACATCAGAGGAGTGGTAATACCACTGGTAGTACTACTCCAAGCATCATCCCTGTCCCACTCGAAGACCACGCCCATACCTCCCATCCTTTGAATGTACCGGCACTTCAAACCATAACACCTGCCAGGTCAACGGCATCATCGATCATTTTCCCCACGACGTCAAACCATGCAGCGACGACTGCGAGCGCAACTGTAACTACAACAATGCCCACGTTCCTGACCGCGGAGCATGATACCAGCCTCCCTGCCTTAATGGATTGGCAAGATATTGAAATGGACAGCGGGATGCTGGCAGACATGGGAAATATGTTACAGTTTGATCTGGAGGCGGGTAGTCCTGTCCGGTTCCTGGGTGATTTTAAGGTGACGAATCTCGTCTTAGCTGACTTGTGCGTAAATCTTTGCATGCCTTTCATTCTTCTAAACCTTTCTGTTGTGCACTCCCGTGTCTGTGTGTCTTTATGTTTTTGTGTGAGAATAATGGAAAGATTTGTGACTGACCACTTTGGCTTTTCTTCAGAGATCAACTATATTTCGACCGCCTCCATGATGTCCTTCCTATGATACACCGCCGACGGTACTTTAGCTGGGCAGATCAGGAGAAGCCCTCTCCTGCTCGAACCTGTCTCCGGTCAGCCATGCATACTGTGGCAGCAGCCATGTCGGCACAATATCACAGCCTTGGCGACGCCCTTTACCAAGAAACATGCCAATTACTAGAATCCCAGTGCATGCGAACATTAAGTGGATGTGGTAGTTCTGACATGTCGTTGTTCGCATCAACCAACAACAACCCCGGTCCTAGACCCTCTATTGCGGGCGACAAGATCCCTATCGAGCTGATTCAATCCTGGCTTCTCCTAGCATATTACGACGTTGTGCGCAGCGGCGAACACCAGGCCATGGTTACAGCGGGGCGTGCTTTCCGGCTCGTTCAGCTAGCACGTCTCTACGATGTCGATGAGAGCAGCGGGGTTGAGGATATGCCGAGTAATCCTGCTGGCTCTGACGGCGTCCACTCCGACCAAAATATCCCATATATAATAGCTGAGGAGAAGAGGCGAACTTTCTGGCTCGCTTTTAGCTTTGATCGCTTTCTCTGCTCACGCAACGAGTGGCCCTTGACGCTGCAGGAAGAAGCAGTCCGCACACGTCTGCCCGCCTCGGAGGCAAGCTTTCAGAATAACCAGCCGACCCAAGTGTGCTTTTTATCCGAAGTGATAGCCATGAGTACCAGTCCCCAGTGTTATTCGTCTACAATGATCCCTCTTTCTCCATTTGCAGAATGTATTGTGCTGGCAGCGCTACATGGTCGCTGCATGACACATCGCCGTATGTCGATGCTGAACACTGGGACAGACGAGGCCCAAGAATTCTGGACGAGGCACGACCAATTAACACTGGCCGTAGAGAAAAGGGCTCAGATTCTCGCTCAAAGCCCCTCGCTAAAGCTGGTCAACCGCGACCCCATGGTGCTCTTCACTCACATGCTGGCGCAGAAGTCGGTCATATATCTTAGCGGCACCCTCGAGATGGCGCTCTTGCAGCGACAACAACAACAAGTTGGCGACCGCCAGCTTTTCGCCAGCTCATACAAGTGGCGGGCTGAGCGGGCAGCGGTCGAAATAGTGGGCCTTGCCGAGTCAGCCAGGTCTCTTGGCTGCTTTAGCATGCACCCGTTTATAGCAGATCCGCTTGCCTGTGCTGCCAATTTCTTTATCCGAAGTGCACAGTCTATCAATGCCAGGGGGGCAGGAAGTGCAAGGAGCAATAGCAGCAGCAGTAGCAGCATCAACAGCAGAAACAGCAGCAACAGCAGCAACAGTAGTATGAGCAACAATGATGGAGAAGTGGAGAAGCTTCTTTGCTTGCTTCGACATTTAGGCCACTTGAATGTTTTAGCACAAGACTATCTCTGCACTGTCGAGGCTGAATATAGCACATGGTGTGCCGGCCGGCGACAGGAGCAATAAAAAGGCGCATATGATATTTTCCCGGTTCCGTTTTTCACGGCGGGTACTGTCTTTGTGATGATCTTCGTCGTTTTTACCATTTAGACATGACATTATACATAGTTTATACATAGTGAAGTCTTTGCCATACCTTGTATCTATCTTTCTTCTTTGGTCTCTCCTCTCATGTTTGATCGCTTCGTCTCAAGTTATCCATAGCTATATATACAATGAAGTTAGGGATCGTCATGCTTGGCTTGGTCGTTACATGAAGTCCTTAGTCCTTTTATCCAAGTAGGACCATCCGTACCATCTAGTATATAGGGATCATAATTACATAATTTTGCTAATAGTTGCTCTAATTAGATAGATATTTGAATCACACCGATTTCCTTTGACCATATAAATAATACCAGACTAAGGAACTCGACCTAGGTCCGCGGTAAATTTTCGGGCCATGATCAAGCTGACATATTTCACATGGCAAATACGAACAGGGTTAGACTAACACTGATCTGGAATATGCTCGTGTGATGAGGCGGACTATAAATATTCCGCGGACATTGTGCACCGTAAACATGACATTTATGTCCGCCGTGTAAAGTAACAATTTCTTGCTTGGCTGGCTCGCTCCGCCTGCTTGCCAAGAGATCTATCCCCGGGGAATTATTCAGGCTGAAATAGGACATTGGAATACATAAGTAGCATGCCGATATGCCAATACTTATGCCCACAAGTTCATTCATACCATTCTCCAGTCTACCCACCCTCTAGACTCCACAGCCAGCCATCATGCCCGCTACTCCTTTGCCTGTCAATCTTGCTGGTCCACCATTAAGTGACCGTGAGGCCATCGCCGATGCCTGCTACCGCACCACAGCCTCTATTGACCACGCAGACGAAGAGCTCTTCTGGTCCGCCGTGACTGATGACATATATGCCGAAGTTGCTGGCACGACTGTCACCAATGCACAAGATCTAAAGACCAAAGTTTGGGACAATGTCATCAAGGTCGACACCATCCACTACCTCACCAACATGCGCATCAGCATTGACACGCCAACAACGGCCCGAGTGACCTTTACATCTCTCGCTCAGCACTGCCGACATGGCAAAGGGTTTGAGCCAGGCCCCAACAAGTTCACCACTGGCGCCATCTACAACTGCGACGCTGTGAAAGTGGGTGACCTTTGGAGGTTCAAGTCGTGGAAGGCGAACCATGTCTGGGGTGATGGTGACCCATCTGTCATGGTCGCTTAGATGGCCTATCCACATTCTGGAGGTGGCAACAACTGCAAAACTGAACTGTGTGCATAGTGTGGTAACATATTTCTATCCAATATACTTCAGCGTACAGACTCAAATTTATCATGAATGAACTGGGACGGTTACAACATCGCCTTGTCTTTGATGTTGTTTGTCTTTCCAATAAAGCAGCTTTTACCTCACAGCATCCGATAGAAGAGTTTTGACTATAAGCAGTCAGAGGCAACCTTTCTGCAAAAAACAACAAGACAAAGTATCTGGCCAGTTGGCTAGAGCAACTGAGAAACTATAAGTCAACAAACTGTTTGAAAGTGCTTAAATAATCTATTTTTGATGAGTTTGATTGGAGTAAAATACGAGTATACGCTCAAAATTTACTAAGAAAGACGTGTTGTCTGATAAAATTGTGATAGAATTAGATAACTCGGCCCATGGTACTGCAGCGTCAAGCTTTGCAGGTGGGGCTATATGGGGGCACAACATATGGTGGACCCACCTGTTGAGTAATGCAGTTATGCAGCTATCCATGTGAAGTTATGACCGACATGTCACAGCTCAGTTCCTAATTCCCTCTCCAGTTCCCGTTTTCCCACTTCCTGCAACTGTGGGACGATAAGCACCTCGGCTATCCGGGTCAGCGGGTAGGTTACACTCCGGCGGTGTTTTATTGATGCGCTGTTCAATGAGATGTTGCTTACGGAAGAGCATTACAGAGCTAGTAACGGACTAGCTCCATATCCGCGACTCACTGCCCCATTTGTGGATAACATCCTGTCTGAGTACTATTAGTCTTCAGACGTTGAGCCCCCCGGAGTAAGGTCTTGAGCCGGGGGGATTATGTGATGAGAGAATGGGCTGAGCAGAATCGGCAGGGTGTCAGTCATGGTATCGGAGCGTGGCTGGTTAAATTTCCCGACTTTGGTGCCGGGGTGACCATTAACTAATATAAGGGCCATACCAAGCTTTTATGCTGCTCAGTCTTGGTTGCATCCTTATCTGCACAGAGCTATACCCCTCCCCATCCTCAACCAATCATGTTGACACGTCTGTTGGCCTTGGCGAGTGTGGCTCCTAGCATGGTAGTCCGCGGCCACTTCATTAGACATGATGCTTATACGCTCGAAGAGCTGTATGAACCATGGGTTTCACCCGCCACGGAAATCGCATCTTCAACAGATGCCAACTTTTCTTCCGTTGTTGGACCGCGGTGGTCGGCTTGGGAAGCGCCGCATTGGTCTGGGGCAATCAAGCCCGCAACAGAAAAAGATCTCCAGAAAGTGGTGAGTATTGTTCCTTGTATTTCGCTTATTGGTATATCAGAAAGACTTATAGGAACAACAGGTCCAAATATCAGTTGCAAACAAGATCCCATTCATTGCAACCAATGGTGGCCATGGTCCGAAAGTCGGTCAAGCCCAGTTTACTGGCATCAACGTGAACCTTGCAAGTTTTAATACTGTCAATATCGATACCGCCAACAATCTGGTGACCATTGGAGCTGGCGTCAAGTTGTGGGATGTCCAAAAAGGGTTGTATGATGTCGGCAAAGAAATCCGTATGTGCCTTCTATTTGATCTCCATCCAATATCCGTCAAAGTCTACTGTGTGAGAAAAGCGGCATATTGACTGACCTGGGATTGTCCAGAAACCGGCAATTCCATCTGCCCGGGTGCCATTGGGGTTACCATCGGTGCCGGCATTGGCATGATGACGGGCATGTACGGTCTAATGATCGACACGCTTAAGTCTGTCCGTATTGTGACCGCAAAGGGCCAATTGGTGAAGGCTTCGGCAACGGAAAACAAGGATCTCTTCTGGGCAATTCGCGGAGCCGGTATCAACTTTGGCATTGTAACAGAAGCAACCTACGGAATCCATGAACAAACCAACCACGGCAATCTGACCGCAGTTACTTTTGTCTACGCGGCACCGTCTAATCGTTCGCTCTGGGAGACCATGAAAACGTTTGATGGCAACCAGCCAGCCAAGCTATCCTTCCAAGCGGTCATCAGGTTTGACCGGACTACCGACTCGTCGAGTATTGTTTTGCAGCTCTGGTACTTTGGCCCTGTGGCGGAGGCACAGCCATACATTGACCAGTTTGCCGCTATCGGTCCGGTTGTTAAATCTGTGACATATCTGCCCCAGACCGACGTGTTCTACCAGTCCCAGACGGCTGGAGTGTGCGACAGGGGAAACATCATCAGTGCACACACCTTGGGCTTCAAGCAAACTGACGTCGCAAGCTATGAGGCTCACTTTGCGGATATGACGGCCTTTTACAAGGCAAATCCTGCGTTTAAGGGAGAATCCGTGCTCCAGTATTACAGCAACGAGGTGACTATCCAGACACCAGTGTCTGAATCTGCTTTCCCGTGGCGTGATATTCAAGTGTGGTGGTAAGATCTTCTGGCTCTGCGGAGTGTCTCTGTTGTTTATTTTTCCTTGTACTAATTTCACGATTTATTTCTATTACTGCAGGCTCACACAAAACGAATACACGGACGCCTCAATCAGGCCTCAGGTTGATCAGTTTATGAGCGGACAACGCACAAATCTACAAACAACCAGCGGTTTCTCTACGCCTCACGTTTATTTGAACTATGCCTATGGGGACGAAGGAGCGGCCGCATGGTATTCTGCAGCCAACTTGCCCAAGCTCCGAAAACTTAAATCCATATGGGATCCCTCTTGTATATTTGGAAATGGGGCGTCTATTTACTAAACAGGGATTCATACAGCATTATCATAAGGGGTTTACTATGATAGAAAGTCATCTAGCTCTTTAGATTAATACCTTGTCTAGAAATGAAACTATCTGTCATTGAAATTATTTTGAACGTAGACAACCTTTGAATTCTGCTTTAAAAATTATACTGCGATTTCAAGATTTACTCTTATACCTGATTCCGGATACACGCTGTAGTCCTTGTTGAGGATATACAGAGAGGGAGATATGAAGAACGGGGAGACATTGAAAAATCTATAGGATAGCAGGGTATTCATTTATACCCTGTAAATATAGCAGATAAAATATACACGTAAAGATCTCGGTCTAAAATTAGACTGACCAGCAGCAGGGACGTGATAAACCAACAGTCCTACATGAGGATGTTTGTGTACCTGGATGTTGTAATTCAGTTCTATATTCGTATCTAAAACAACAGAATGTATATTAAGAAGCTGCAGCTTTGATGTCTGTTACCATCTTTTCAACATCGTAGTCCCATATGATTCGGGAGGCTCTCTCAAGCTTCCGTTTGCTCCTCTCAGCATCCCGCCCCGTGGGACCATATCGCCACTGGTACATTTGGCCCATCTCGCGCGAGCTACGCACAACCCATTTGCCACGCTCCATCCTTGCTTGGCTATAGGCCTGCAGTGCGTGTACAATCGCCGCTCTCTGGTCACGATGATCGCCACTATTGCTGCTGGCCTGCACCATATCCAAGGCTTCACAAAGCACAAGAGCGTCTTCGACACCGATACAGGCACCGACACCCTGGAACGGGCTGCTGGCATGAGCAGCATCACCGGCAAGGCAGACGCGACCGCGAGCATATGTTGGCACCGGGTGTTCGTCCATGTCAAAGATCCCCCATTTGACCATGTTCTCTGGGAAGCACTTCGCAATGTCGACCAGGTGCGGGCCCCAGCCGACCACGATCCGCTCGAGCTCATCGCGTGCGGCCGGAGCCGTCATTCTCTCTGGGTCAGGGAACTCTGAGGACTCATGGGCGAAGAAGGCAACGTTT